CAAGGTGACTACAAGTCTCCACCACCACCATACGTCTACAGCTCTTCTCCACCGTACTACTCTCCTTCTCCAAAGATGGATTACAAGTCTCCACCACCGCCATACGTCAATACCTCACCACCACCTCCACCATACTATTCTCCTTCTCCTAAGGTAGAGTACAAGTCTCCACCACCACCATACGTCTATACCTTACCACCACCTCCACCATACTATTCTCCTTCAACTAGGGTAGAGTACAAGTCTCCACCACCACCATATGTCAATGCATCACCACCTCCTCCACCATACTGCTCTCCTTCTCCAAAGGTGAACTACAAGTCTCCACCACCACCGTACGTCTACAGCTCTCCTCCACCTCCACCATATTATTCTTCTTCTCCTAAGTTAGACTACAAGTCTTCACCACCACCATACGTCTACAACTCTCCTCCACCTCCACCGTACTAGTCTGCTCCTCCAAAGGTGGAATACAAGTCTCCACCACCATCATTCTTTTACAAGACACCCTACTCTTGATTTTTACATATTTTTTTTTGTTACCAAGTAACATGATTCAGATTATTCATTTTCATGATTTTTTCTTTTGATTTTTCTGATGTCGGTGCTACTTTTAATTCCTTTTCATGATTTTATTATATCAATAACTTTTGTTTATTTTTTTAATGCACCTATAGTTTAATTTTGGAAACAAATAAATTAAGGTCTATGCTTAAAAAAATTGTCATATATGTTCAATCTAGTTATTATAAATCTCTCTCAGATATTAAATCATCACGATAATAGAGGCGAGATTACAAAATCTCTTCTATAAGCAGGAGAACCAGGATCTGGCCAACAACCTTCTACTCGCATACGAAGCGAAGATCCAAGCCGAAAGGTCGGTCATTTTCGAGGTCTCTCGAGCACAACGACGTGCCAAAGAGAAGATCGAGACGGAGACTACAAGGATCTGGGTGGAGGCCGAAGTTAGGTTCTCGGGTCGTATCCAACGTCTGAGAACTCACATTGTTAAGCGTGAGGTGGCTGATACGGTGAAGTTCGACCTTGTCCAGGCCAGAGGCACTCTGGAGTGCCTCGATCTCTTGAAGGACGACGAGGATCTGACCGAGGAAGAGCTGAGGGCTGACCTCGAGAAGACCAAGCGCGTATGCGAGCTGAAGCTCTAGAGCTTCAGCCTCACTGATCTAGAAAAGGGAGATTTTCCACCGCCGTTTTTTGAAACTCCAAATGAGGGCTCAGATCTTGAAGAGGTTGACAATCAAGAGGACCTCAAGAACAGCAATCAGCCCGAGGAGTAGATCGTCTCTTTTAATGCTCGTCTTGTTATTGTGCTTTCCTTTCCTTGTCGTTTATTTTTTTCCTTTTCTATCTCCAACCTCGATTGTAAATTTTCTCTTTCTTTTATTAATGAAAAACATCTTCTCATTTCGAATGTTTTGTCGTTTAAGAGCTCGTGTTTAAGTTTCAAATGATTGATCTATAGATGCGAGTTGAAAACTCGAATTATTAGAACTATAGGAGCGAGGTCAGACTCGGCTTACCCTGTTTTATTTACGAGTCTGGGCTCGGGTTACTAGGCCATTAGGGCGAGTATTAGCTCGGCCGACCTGTTAGCTTCTCAAATCGAATCCGAATAGCGAAGATGTGTTCGGCGTATTAATTCGGGCGATCTGAGAGTTTATGCGGGACTGGCCCCAGCTTATTCTTTTATAGTCGTACGGTTTTTGTTTCTCAAGATTTATAAAGGAATTGCATTATGGCGAATGTGTATTTATAGATCGCACATCTAGCTAGGATGTCATTGTCAAACATGCCAAGCAAATAGTTGGTAAAAAAAGAATTTTTTTTTGTTGAGAGGTAGCTTGACAAGTAATAGTACCGCTTGATGTTCATGGAGTTCCATGACTTCGGTATCACCTCGCCACACATGGTCATGAGCTCGTAGACTCCTATATTAGATATTCGTTTTCCTCTTTATTATGTTTTTCTTATGGATATATTTGAGTTATTATTCGTAAATATAGATTGACTTGGGCTTCTTCATTGTTTTTCTTGAACCTATAGTTTATCTCGCAAACTATATGTGATTGGTTTGAACTTTGCAATCATATCTTCAAATGAACCTAACAAAATCATTAGTACTTTTTTTGGGTCAACAAATCATTAGAACTTCTAATTTGTTTAATTGGTATTTGTAAACTCTCTAATTTATTATTTTTATCTTCTACGAAGGATCAAAACCATAGAAAGAAGTTTTTGTGTGTGTATAATTCATGTTTTCGTTTAGGTTTGTATTAATTTTTTTTGGTAACATACTTTTGCTGGATGTTAGTTATTGTTTGATTGTTTTTTGTTTCTCATTGGATTACACTATATATTTTTTTTATATTTTTGTTTATATTTATTTTTATTTCTAAATATAATTTTATGTTTTATTTTCATGGTAGCTTGTGTGGATATAGTTTGGTTTTGGTTTTGGTTTCATTTTCATAATTTACTAAAGATATGTAACATGAACAAAACAAGGTCTATTGTTTTACAATTTTTTCATTGTTTTCTGCTCAAAGGCAATTATGTTATTTCTGGAGAAAATATTTTATAGTTTTGTTTTTTACCCAACACATTATTTTATCAGAAAACATTAAATTAGTCTCAAGAGTAAACCTGTCAGGCTTTAAAGGAATGTCCTTGTTGGTAAGTTGATGAACGGGAATGTGATGTCTCATAACTTCAAAGAGCAAAAGAAAAGCAGGTGACAACAAGAATTCAGTTTGACTAGAATCTCTACATGATGCGGTGGTGTGCTGAGTGTGTCAACTACGTGAGGGAACAAGTTTTACCCGTAACAAAACAAAAGAAAGCCGCATGTGCACAACTAATCAGTTGCAGTATTTAGGGATCGAATCCACAGAGATTTGTGTGCCTGGTATTCTTCTACGGTTTTTAACTTTATGTCTAGACTAAATTGGTTTTAAAGGTTGGTTGTTTTTCTTGAATTAAACTAAAGGAAAATAAAGCAAATAAATCTATCCTAAAAGACAAGTAAAGAAATCGAATGAAAGGCAGTAGAACAAGTAAAATATCGAACTAAACAAAGATAACGCAAGTAAAATATCGCATGAAAGGTAAATAAAGCAAGTAAATAACGAACTAAGAATATTAAAATGCAGGTCTAAGAGAGCAAGTAAAAATCGATGGAAATTGTGAACTATGGCTAAAAACGCTGAGCTTTTGGGAACTCTAAGGGATCATAATCGGTTTTAACAATAAGGTAGATAGATTGGGATTGACGGATAACAATATATGGGTTCTAGAGCTAGAGTACGGCGGTATGACTACGTCACTGTCGTGATCATAACCAACTGTTTCTCGCAACGCTGACCAGTAGGTTTCCACTCTGGCCCTGGAAGGGAGAGAACGCAAGAGCTGCATAAGACTCGTCAATACTCACGATCTCGCCGCAGGTAGGTTTCCACTCCTACGGAAAAATCGCCTGTTTCATTCTAGGGCTGATACTTAATGAAAACTTTCGCATCACTAACTATCTAGATCAGATACTAGGTGATCAATCAAGCATACATGCAATAAGAACAAGAATAAACAGAGAACAGGTCGAAATCCCAGATCTATAAACCTAGATGTCTTAATCGATTATGAGAGCCCCTTTCGGGAACCCTAAGCCCAACTCGGGATCTACTCAGACATGGCTGAGTTCGACATCATCATTGGTTTTAATAAAAGTAATAAAAAACAGCAAAGAAAAGAGATAAAGAAAGCTTCTCTATTGAAGAACTCGGATTTGAACCATCTTCTACAAAAATCTCATAAAAATGGCTAAAGGAAAAGGGTTTCTGTAAAGTATCAAAAAGCTCTCCTAAAAACGACCTAAATGACATGTATTTATAGTCTCCAATACTCCATGGTCTCTAGGGTTCCGAAATTGAGGCTGGGAATGACTTTGGGCTTCAGATAAGTGGGCTTTAAGTCGGACCTTGAATGCTGCGGTCGTGAGTGCTGTGACCGAGGCAATTGGCTTGTTTCCCGCGGTCGGGAAGCTTCTGACCGCGGCAAATAGCTTGTTGGCCGCGGTCGCGTGAGCTGCTGGCCGACTCCGCGTGGCTTCGGGGCTAATGGAATATCTTGAGATCCAACCGTTGGAATGTCTCCAAACCAAGTGCATTTGAAAGCTGGTTGATTCTTCTATAAGTTTTCCAATTTTGAGGGTGATCAGACGGTGAGAAGGTCTTCGTCTCTCCATGAGAGTTCTGACGGTCTGCATTTATCCAAAAGAGTCTTTTTGTTCCATTTTATGCCTCTTTATCCCAAATTACCTGAAAAGTCTTTTAAAATCGGGAAACATAGAAATCCTTTGAAACCCTTTGAAAATGGAGTAAAAACACCTGTAAAAGATATTAAAAATGATCCATAAAAATGGTCAAATCCGGTGTTATCACTACACATGTTAAGTTCTTGTGTTGATATACAACAATCATATTAAGAACATAGTGCAAACCAATTGCAAATGGTCCATCCAATTGGTATTGAACTATACTATGGTTAATCCCTGACACACTTCTTGGTTTCATCGTTTTTTAATGAAGTCATTGATTTTTTTACCCCTGATGAGAGATAAAACCAGCTGAACGAAGGAGAGTCACCAATACAGAGGAAGAAGAATGTTTGCAAGAAGGGAAAACCTAAGGAAATCTAAGTTATAAATATAGAGAGGGAGGGATGGTGTGAGAGAGAGAGAGATGGAGAGAGGGAGATACAATAAGAGGGGGAGAGAGAAAGAGATGGAGAGAGAGGGGAGGATACAAAAAGAGGGAGAGAGGGAGGGAGAGGGAGAGAGAGATGAAACTATTGTCCGTGTAAAGTAAACGAATCAGAATATGAAGACGAGAGAAAATATGAATCGGAATAATAATCATTCTGAAAAGAAAAAATGTTATGAAGACTGAGAGGCAAAGAAAAGATAAAGAAAAATTAATATAAATAGTCAGGGAGACATAGACAATGATGAAGAAAAGGATGTGAGATAAGAAGATTGAAATATATGTAAGAGGAAGAAAAAGAAGAAGTCAAAGAAGAAGAAGTAGAAGTAGAATTCAAAGACAATGAAGAAGAATGAAAAAACGAGGAAGAAGAAACTCTGAAGGATGAATAAGAGGAATAAGAGAAAAATGAATTCGATGGAAAAGAGGAAGAAGAAAAATTTGAACAGAAATAAGAAAAATGCATTGAAATGGGATGAGGAAGAATACTACAAGTAAAACCCAGGAAAAAGTTGGGGGAAGAATTGATCAAACACAATGAAAAAAGGAAAATACAAAGAAGAAAAAACAGAAAGATAAAGAATATAAAGAAGAATTGAACAGAGAAGGAGAAAACAAGGAAGAAGACAAATCAGAAGAGAAAGAATAAGTAGAAATCGAAGACGATGACGAAGAAAAAGAAAACATGAGGAATAAGAAAATCGAAAGATAATTAAGAGGAAGAAGAAGAAGTCAAAGAAGAAGTAGAAGTAGAAGTAGAAGTAAAAGACGATGA